TTTCCCTGAAAATTTTAAAATGTCTAATTAACACATTAAAAACATTTTATCAATTTTTTTTGATATATGATCATATAGATATAATTTTCTTTCAAAATAACCCTTTATTATATGTATTTATTGGCTCTTTTGCCGTGGGACTCACGTAGGACTCATGTGGAATTATTTTCTCTGTGGGACTTGTTTTAGTATCAGCGGGGATTAAAAAAAAGTCTTCCTGGAGCCATTAGCTTAGATTAAATGTTCTTTGTAAACAATATTGTTTACGCATGGTTTTTGAAAGATATATTAAGAAATTATATAACATACATATTATTTCTTTCCTCTTTAAGAATTTTAGCAAACCACGTCAGACAAGCTTTTTAGGAAAGCTAATACTTGTTGTCATCTCCCTCGGGAGATGACCATTAAGATTGTTTGCCGGAAGCGAAGTCCTAGTGTAAGCCTCCATTAATCTTTCGGGAATCCTCGAGTTTTACAATATCTCAAGGGAGAATCTACACAAGGAGTTCCAAGTAGCATGTAAACTGGTTGCCTTTTAGAAGAACTAGCTAAGAAGTGTGTGATCTACTTTCGGTTTTAATAGGCCTATTTGAAGAAAGCCAAGGAAAATTTAGAAAAGAAGTACGATGCTTATGAATATCTATGGTTTTGGTGTGTCGTATCTATATATATTGAATCTCAATACTGAGGCCACCCGAGGATCACCGACTGTCAGTTTGATGAAGATGCGATCTTCTAAATATAAATTGAGATGTAAACAATGAGCGCTCTGCCTTATTATTCAGAAAGAAAACAAGCTGCACAGAAATCATATGAGAGTCCGACACAAATCGCCTGGGTGGTGGGGGCTCATCAAAATATACATGTGCACTGTACATGTATGTTCTCATGCATAGTCTTCTTGGTTATTACGTAAATGATGGTCAAACTTAATAGAATCTCCTAACTAGGTCAGCGCATGTGTAAAGATCCTCTGCGGCTTACGCGTGGTTTAGAATTCACAGATAAACAGCATCAAATTTAAAACATTCATATAAGTAATCGCATTAACTGATATGAACTGATGGTGAAAACTCTAATTTTTTGGTTCATTAGTTTTTATAGAATTGCAGTCATTTTTTAAAATAATACAAGTCTGATTAAGCGATCGAATGTATAAAGAGTAAATTAAGAAACTTCAGAAATTAGAAGCACATATTATAAGCGGATACATTGATGTCAATAAGAAACTACATACATTGGAAGATTAAAGATCACAAAGAATCATTATGAGTATTTCCTTGCATGTCTAATTCTATTCTTTTTTAAGGAGTTTTCATGTTTATAATTAAAGAACTTGCAATGAATCATTTTCTTAATGCAGTTTTAATTGCATTAATGGCAACAAAAACATCAATTCATTTTCTCCCATATTATTGAAATGAGGCCAAAATTATAATTAAACAGAATTGTTTAAGTTTAGTATGCAGAAAAAAAGTTTACTCTCGTAAGTTCGGAATTTCCAAATGAGGTCTTTTTTCCAGATAATTTGAAAATACTTAATTTTGGTAGAGAGCATTTAAATGTTATTACTTGCCTGATTTTAAAAGCACGTATGCGTTATTTCTTTGGATAAGCTAAGTGTGTATTAAACGAAGGTTTATATTTTAAGACTTATGTGCTTTGCAAGATAATGACGTTGATCATGCTGATGGCAGTTTTCACTATCTTGTGCTTTATTTTGACAGTACCGTGTACATGTGCTTATATTTTAGAAAGCGTTTACTAACAGGTGGATCCAGTAGTCTTGAAAAGGGTAGGGTCCCACCGTCACACCAAAAACTGAATTACCGGTATTAAATCTAATGGATATTTTAGACACAAAATTTTACAAGATACAAATGACATTCATAAAGTGACAAATAATTTCCATATGAAAGAGTTTTTTCAAAAACATTATTTTATTATCAATAGTTCAGTGTGAAATGCTTTCGAAACATATGAATCATGATATTATTCAGATACATGTAATTTAGGAAAATCGAATCTACAAAGCTGTGCCCTAGCTCTTTTAACCCTGTATTGTTGTAATTGTTCACTGCAAGCCCCCCCCCCCCCATCCACACTGTTTGTTGAAGTTTAGTCATGTTCTTCCAACCAAAAAGTTAAAATATTTCCTTCCTATCCACAACATAGGATTTTGAAGTTTGATCATGACTCTTTTTTTCCCCAAACTAAAATTGTTCATGTAAACTGCCACTCCCCATCCCTAGAGGAATAGAAAAATCTGTAATAACTGAGAAAAAAAGTTACACTTTACTGTTTATTCTTTGACTGTAATGAAGCCAAAGAGATGACATTTCAGGCTTTCTAGAAAGCCAAACTTGTCTTATTATTATTATTTCACAGGAATAAAAGAGTGGGGCGTTCATATTTAACGTCGGGATCGACATTTTGCATTGTTTACTCAAAGAAAGCCACATTGCTATGTAACGGTTCACACGAATCAAGTACAATTTGCTGATTTACCAGGTAATCTATTTTTACTAGAATGTAACAAAGCATTAAGAAAAACTTTATCTCAATGACGTTCTACGTTTGATACCGGAGATAACCTGAATGTTTTTAAACCCGTATATATTCATATAGCTGCAGATGTAGCTATCCGGAAAAATCGTCCTAAATAAACTGAAACAGAGAACTCTGGAGAACCCTAGAACTTAGAGAACCCAAGGTTTATATCACGAATTTATATATGATTTATGCATAATTGGATAGATTTATACTAAATAAAGGATATTTTATTAAAAATAAAATTTAAAAAAGGGATTTTATGGAAGTTTTCAGCAGATAAAACGTAACAAAATTGAAGGCAAAATATTTTATGACCTCCCGATCCCGATTGAATATTTTCACACAATTTTCAATTATTTTTCACATTATTTAATATTTATTTTAATGAAATGTATAATTCTTAATAATTTACTCTGATATTAAACATATTATTTAATGTCTTACTAGTTTTATTATAAAAGCCATGATGAAGTCTTAGAGATAATAGAGTACTCTGTTTAAATAAGCAAAAAAACTTGTTAAAATATACTATATTCTGATTTAATTTTGTTTTGGCATGATATATTAGTTATCTAGAATATAAATATTTCATTTACAGACAATAAATAATTAAAAATCAATAGGGTTCTCTAAGGTTCTCTAGAGTTCTCTAGGGTTCTCTGTTTAGTAGTACCCGGAAAAATATATATTGATAGACCGGATAGCTACAGTGCCACCCATTTAAAAAACTGTATATTTATTGCGCACCAAAAAGTGCGCTCGGTTTTTATTTATTTCTCCACGTTCCTAAAACTGAAATCTTATAATATTACTAACCATGTGTTCCTAACATATTCTTTCACTCTTTCCACAACAAAACATTCGTCATAATTATTTTTAATAGTCCTCCTGACCCTGATAGTGTAATCATCGAACATTTCGATTAAATATACTGCCATATTGGTTTCAAAGATAATTCGGTCCAATATGCTTCGTTCAGATGTCAACTACGAATGTAATTGATAAAGGAAACAGAAACTTTTTAAAATCTTCCCTCTTTTTCAATTGAGGTAAGAATTAGGAAGAAATAATCAAGAACTGAGCGCACTTTTTTTGTGCGCAATAAATATACAGTTTTTTAAATGGGTGGCACTGTAGCTATCCGGTCTATCAATTTATATTTTTCCGGATAGCTACAGATCTGCAGCTAATATTCATATATATATTTAAGCAAGATTTATATCGAAATGTGTGATTTTTAAAATGATGTTGTTAAACAGGTCCACCACAATGCCTTGATAAAGGTATACAGCTCGATAAAGCTATATAGTTTTATCAAGGTATTACAAATACCTTGATCAAGGTATTTTATGTAATGAAAATACAAAAAAAAATCTAAAAAAAAAATAAATACTGAAAGTCGAGTTCCGAGTTGTTGTCAGTAAATTCACTCATGCATGAAAAGCACTCTGCTATGAAAAAACCCCAGACTTTTATTAATAGTGATTTTTGTGTTTAAGTAATATACATGCATGGGTGAATTTACTGACAACAACTAAACTGAACATTCTGTATTTAATTTTTTAAGAATGTTTCTGAATTTTCATTACAAATACCATGATCAAGGTACATTTTTATTTGTTATGTAATACCTTGATTTAAGAAATAAATGTAATTTTTTTTCCTTTGATCGATCTATCAAAGAAAAATTTGGACGGAAAACTTCATCAATGCGCGTAGCGCATTGATGAAAAAGTTTTCCGTCCAAATTTTTCTTTGATACATCGATCAAAGGAAAAAATATTACATTCATTTCTTATCATTTAATTATGATCTTAAATAAATAAAACGAAACTTTCTTTCACCTTTCTAATTGAATATACGCATCAAAAACAGTGCGCACGAATACATTACAACAACATAAACGTTGCTGAAATTCAAAATGGCTCAAACGAGGAAACGTTCTCAAATATTGTCGTGGCATTACAAAAATTCTCTGAAATAATTTACAGTTCTTTAACACAAAAAACTTACCTGTTGTGTTATCCCAATTGGTATATTTTCCCCGGTAAGTTATCTAAGTTTGTAAATGTAAAGGGAAGCTACTCAAATATCCTAACAGTTCGAACCCCAATTAACGTTAGGTCTTTTTGCACATCTTTTCATCTGAATATATTATACATATCACAACCTGTCAATGCTGTAAAACCTGAAAGAGTCTGCTGTCGACTGTGTAAGATTAAAAGAATATGTCCTCATTCATGCAGTGTCGTTTTTCTCGATCATTCGTTTCCCAAAATTTAACAGATTAACGTTTTTCCTCTCTTTTGTAGCATAAAAAACGTTTCATCAGAATTCTATTGTTCATATCAGACATCTCAAATCCAAACATTTTTCTCCTTCTTTCCCAAAACTGTACTGTTGCTATGCAGACGATTTGATTTGTTTAGCAAAGGGCGATAATTCAACAAGAAACGAAAGTAGAAAATATGTCAGGAACATAACGGTCAGATTTCGAAATTCAGGAAAATATTTATTAAAGTAAAATTATTTAATTATTCCTTCAAAAAGTAAGTAACCTGGAAGCGGGAAATAGACGTGTAGAGACTGCCAAGTACCGGTAGTTCCGGCTGCTTAGTGCAAGCGAACTCTAGATTTTATTGATGCAGGTATCAAAAGAATTTTTCAACCAATCAGAATCAAGTATTTCATGGAAATTAAATGAAAAAGCTATATAGCTTTATCAAGCTATATACTTTTTAATATCAGGGTATTGTGTTGGACCTGCTACATAAAGTAATATATCCCCATTAAACATGTTAAAAAATGAGGTAGTGATGATAACAAATTGTTATAATTTAGATTTAATTTATTTATGGCCAAATTAAAAAGAAATGGGTAGAGCACCTGAGGCCACCCTTAAAAAATGTTTGTTTGGAATTGCCACCAGGAGGGTTTCAGACACAGGATGGAGGATTTTTTTTTTTTTTCAAAATTGCAGATAATTTTTTTATATAAATCTCAGCATGCTCAGTAAACACATTTTCTGACTTAAAAAATCTACCATCAACAAAGAAACTGAATTTTGTAAATTTTGCAAAGATCTGACACTACATTTTAGTGTGTTGTATTGTGTATGTGTTAACGGGCAATAAACAAAAACTTTCCTACTTTTGGACAATAATTTTTTTTTTCAGGAGGGGGCATTTCAATGAGGCGGGAGGCAATATTCCAAACAAACTATAATTAGCTCACCTGAGCCGAAGGCTCAAGTGAGCTTTTCTGATCACATTGTGTCTGTCGTCAGTCTGTCCATCCGTAAACTTTTCATATTTTCAACTTCTTCTCAAGAACCACTGGGTCAATTTTGACCAAACTTGGTACAAAGCATCCTTGGGTGAAGGGGAATTTAAATTGTTGAAATGAAGGACCAAATCCCTTAACAAGGGGAGATAATCAAGAAAAGACAAAAATAGGGTGGGTTTATGAAAAAATCTTCTTCTAAAGAACCACTGAGCCAGAAAAGCTGAAACTTATGTGGAAGCATCCTGGGGTAGTGTAGATTCTAAATTGCCCAAATCATGACCCCAGGGATTGGGCGGGGCCACATTGGTGAATTAAAGTTTTACATAGAAATATATAGGAAAAATCTTTGAAAATCTTCTTTTCAAGAACCACTGAGCCAGAAAAGCTGAAACTTATGTTGAAGCATCCTGGGGTAGTGTAGCTTCTAAATTGTTGAAATTATGACCCCGGGGGTAAGGGCGGGGCCACAATGGCAAATCTAAATTTTACATAGAAGTATATAGAAAAAAATCTTCTTCTTAAGTCACGGGTCTTTCGGATATGACCTTAAAAACATAAGTCCGGTGTCACCGTAGGCGCTGGCACGATAAAGAACCCTCACTGCTCAATGGCCCTGAGTGCCGAGTATAGGTCTAAATTTGAAGCCTTTCACGGTGACATCTCCATATGTCATTGAGTGAAAAATTCTGAAGAGGGAGTTAAACAATGTACAATCAATCAATCTTCTTAATGACCACTGGGCCAGAAAAGCTGAAGCTTATGTGGAAGCATCCTGGGGTAGTGTAGATTCTAAATTGTTCAAATCATGACCCGAGTTGGGGGGGGGTGGGGGTAGGGCGGGGCCACAATAGGAAATCCAAGTTTTACATAGAAATATATAAAACCAATCTTTTAAAATCTTCTCAAGAACTACTGGGCCAGGAAAGCTAAAACTTTTGTGGAAGCATCCTGGGGTAGTGTAGATATTAAATTGTTAAAATCATGACCCCCGGGGTAGGGCGGGGATGCATTATGTATAGCAAGGGGGAAATCTGGTAAAGAACAGAATGGTCAAAGCTTCTCAGGTGAGCGATGTGGCCCATGGGCGTCATGTTTTATTTTGGCCTGACCAGTGACATGGGTGATCTGAGTTTGATTCCGGGTGTAGCCATACATTTTATCCTTTTTTTGTTACCTGGAAAATAATAAAAATTAAAATAATTATTTCTTTTTTTAGGTCACCTGAGTCATTCAGATGTTCTATTGCTATCTGTTTTTTTTTCGTCGTCGTTCGTCGTGCGTTAACATTTAAACATTTTCAGCATCTTCTCTGAAACCACTCAACCCATTTCAACCAATTTTTGAATAAAGCATCTGTGGGTGAAGGGGAACAAAAGTTGTGAATTTCATGGTCCCTGCACCCCCCCCCCTGGGGCCTGAGGGAAGGGGCCAAAACCACTAAAATTGATGCAATCTTTAACAATCTTCTCCTGGACACCAAGCAGTCAAACTGTTTGCATGATTGTAATTAGCATTGTTGATTGATTGATTGTATATTGTTTAACGTCCCTCTCGAGAATTTTTAACTCATATGGAGACGCCACCACTTGCCGGTGGAGGGCTACAAATTTTGTCCTATGCTCGGCACTTAGGGCCTTTGAGCAGTGAGGGATCTTTTTCGTGCCAGCACCTACTGCGACACGGGGCCTCGGTTTATACGGTCTCATCCGAAGGACCGGTCTCCACGTCCCGCAGTGGGATTCGAATCCGCGACGTAAGGATTGACTCCTTACTTCGCGACTCTAGAGCAGACGCTCTAACCACTGCGCCACGCGGGCGATGTAATTAGCATTGAGTCCTCTTCCAAAATTGTGAAATTCATGGCCCCAGGGTCAGGGGTTCTAGTGCTGGGGTGGGGCTATATAGATTATATAGTGAGAATGCATAGTTTCTATGAAAATCTTCTTCTATGCCCCTGGGAATTAAATAAACAAAGTTCATAGTTATGTTGAATAAGGCTGCCTTTTACAAAATTGTGAATTTTATGGCTCTATAGTGAAAATACATTAATTCTTTGAAAGTCTTCTTCTCTTCTCCTAGGTACCGTTCACGGTAGCTCAGTCGGTAGAGCGCTCGCTCCGTGATCGGGAGGTAGTGAGTTCGTATCTCGGCCGCGACTGACCTGGTCGATAAAATGGGTAGCAACTGTTCCTTCGCCATGCGCTCGGCACTTTGAAGTGAAAGTTGCGGGTCCTTCGGAAGAGACCTTAAAGACCGAGGCCCCGTGTCAGCGGCAGGCCTTGGCACGATAAAGATCCCTCACTGCTCAATGGCCCTGAGTGCCGAGTAAAGGTCAAAATTTGCTTCACCGGCATACGGTGACGTCTCCATATGAGTGAAGAATTCTCGAGAGGGACGTTAAACAGTATACAATCAATCAATCAATCTCTTTTCCTAGGTACTAAATAAATTAAGTACAAAGTTTTGATGCGCAAGAGTGCCTCTTCCAAAATTGTGAAATTTATGGCCCCAGGGTCAGGGTCAGGGGTTGCTCCCAGGTTTTAAATAAACTAAGTTAGTACATAGTTATGATGGACAATAGTGCCTCTTCCAAAATTGTGAAATTTATGACCCCATGATCTGGGGTTCTAGTGTTGGGGGGAGGGGGGCTCCATTAATAATATAGTGAAAATGAATTAATTCTTTGAAAATCTTCTTCTCTGCTGCTAGGTATTTTAAAAATAAAGTAACTAAGTACATATTTATGATGAGCAAGAATGCTTCTACTAAAATGGTGAATTTCATGGTTCCAGGGTCAGGGGGTTCTGGTGGTAGGGCAGGGCTCTGTAATGATTAATATGAAAATAGATTAAATCTTTGAAAATTTTATTCTCTGCTCCCCCTGGGTATTAAGCAGATGAACTACCTATATAGTTATGAAGTGCAAGGACCCTTTCTCCAGAATTGTGAATTTCAAGCTTAAGGCCCCAGGGTCAGGGGTACCATGGGGGTTTACTTATATAATGAAAATGAATTGTTTTAAATCTGCTCCTTTGTATTAATCAAACATTTTTGATAAGCAAGGATGCCTTTTTCAAAATTGTGCAATGTGTGGACCAAGGGTCAGGGGTTTATGTGTGTTAGGGGCACTACTAATTATTGCTGAATATTACTGATTAGTTGAATTGCATTTTTGTTCCCCTACCCTGCCTATGGATATTAAGTAACCAAACTAAGCAATTGTTAAGTGTATAAGTCTGGGAAATAAATGTTGATTAAGTGATAATTATGATGAGCAATGGTGCCTCTTTCAAAATTGTGAACGCCATAGCATCTAGCTTAAAACATGAACCAAAGTCAACACTTGAAAGTTGTTGCATGATGCTCAGATGACCTATAAGGCCCTGGGCATCTTGTTTAAAAAAAAAATATTCTTTTACAGGCGTTAGCAATAATTTAATAAACAGACCATGTCAGAGTTTGAGGTGAAGACAGTACTACCCAGCACCAGAGATCCAGGATCCGATCAGAGAGAAGAATCTACTGGTATGTATACATGTACTGTTTAATTAAGGAATAACTTGTCTTATTTTTCGAATTCATGAAGTGATCAATGGATTGGCTTGTGTGATAATTTGCATAAAAGCCGAAGGCGGGTATGCATAAAAATATCACACAAGCCAATCCAATGATCATCTTCATGAATTTGAAAAAATTGTATCAAAAATTGAAGATTGTGAAACTAAACTTTTTTTTCTAATTTCTCGATGGAAAATGAGTAATCCATGTATTGCATAATTTGGGTGGATTTTTTTCACTTTAAGTAAAGTTAGACATTATCCTATTTGTTTCTTTTATTTCTTTTTTTTTCAAAAAATTTTTGAAGGTAAAATATGACATAAAATATTATAAAGAGTACACCAAAATAATCGCCCCCTCTTTTGCCATTTTTTAAGCCCCCGGGGCAGTTAATAGGGATTATACAGTAACAGCAAAAGTTCATTGTAAATAATACATAAATATTTCATTTACTTTAGTTGAGTGTAACATTAAACATTTTCATCCCAAGAAAACACCTTGGTTGACAATGGGTCTTCATGGGGTGTCAATTTTCAATGTTACACTCAACAATATGCAATATTTATTATATTGTTTTGAATGCTTTAAACAAATACATACTACAGTGAACCTTGCACAAATTAATTCTGTACAGTCAACATTTTTTGGAATATCACCCGTCGTCAAGCAATGTTGACTGTTGCTACGCTGGAGGCCTTATTCTGCAGAGGAAGGCTCAAGTGAGTTTTTCCGATCAAAATTTGTCAGTTGTCTGTCATGGTTGGTTGTTGTCATATACTTTTTACACTTTCATCTTCTTCTGAAGAACCAAACTTGCTATAAAGTCTCCTTGGGAGAAGGGGATTCAAGTTCAAATGTAAGGCCACCATGTCTTATGAGGGGAGATAATTATGAATTAGTGAAAAAATTAATGGCTTCTTTTAAAAATCTTGTTCTCAAGAATCACTGGGCCAGGAAAGATGAAACTTAGATGGAAGCATCCTCAGGTAGTGCAGATTAAAGTTTGTTCAAATCATAAAGGTGGGACTATGATGGAGGTCAAAGTCAAACCTAGGAATATGTAGGGAAAATCTTTAAAAACCTTGTTCATAAGAACCACTGGGCCAGGAAAGATAAATCTCATTTGGAAGCATCCTTACGTAGTGCATATTCAAGTTTGTTCTTATCATGACCCCGGGGGTTAGGTTGGGGCCATGATGGGGGATAAAGTTTAGCATAGGAATACATAAACAGCAAAGCAATAATTGGTCATTATTGTTATATGCAGCATCCTTGTGTAGTGTGGATTCAAGTTTGTTCAAATCATGCCCCTTGGGGGTAGGGCGGCGCCAGAATCAGGTATCAAAGTTTAACATAGGAATTCATAGGAAAAAACGTTTTAAAATATTGTTCTCAAGAACACAAAGCAGTCTTTGTTCAAATTTATATGGAAGCATCCTCAGGGAAGTGTAGATTCCAACTCTATTCAAATCATAAACTAGGAAAATAGAGGAGCCAAAAATTAAGTAGATCTATCATCATAGTTATAGTTAGGGAAATTTTAATATCTTTTATATGAAATAAGATTTTTAATTTTTGTGTGAAATGCTATTAAAATAAATGAGTGGAAATAGCGAGCGCAGCAAGCGTCGCAAAGCGACGCTTGCAAAGCAACGCTTGCAAAGCGAGCTCAATAGACTTACATTTAAGAACAGAGGAAATTCGGATTGAAACCTGTACATACGTCAGCCAAATTTCTCTGTGCAACATTCCCAGAATTCCTGCACTACCCAATGTCCTTTGCGCGAATATTGCCAAATAAATAAATAAATAATAATGTAAAGCATATAGCAGACTTTCAGTTTGTAGAAATCTTTCAAAGAAACAAGAATTAAATCTGTTTTTCAATAAAATTGCACTAGTTCTTTAGTTTCAAACAGATGCTCGGCTGTCTCCGTAAGCTCCGAAGAGCTTTGCGACGTTGTATGACGTCACAGCTAGTCGAGATATCTCGTGCGGCTTGAAATTTGAATTGGCTGATCTCAAGTGTTTTTGATGGTACAACTGGGCTCGCCCCAACGGTCACACCGTAAAACATATTATTAAAGAGAAAATAATAACTTCAAATCTGTGTCCAAGTACCTGTAAATAATGTTTTTATCAACCGCAACTCTAGTGGTATCAAAAGAAAAAAAGATCTTCTCCGGGGTTCTTAGGGGTCAAAAGGTGGGGGGGGGGGGCTGTAAAAGGCTCCATTCCCGATGGTAAAACATAGGTGTTTTTACCAATTTTATAAAAGAAAATTCCCCAAAGAGAATGTTCATGTTTTTTTTCTGCGTAAATATATATTAAATATTTATCAAAGTAGCCTAAATGTATTACTCAATACATATATATACATCTTCTGTACTTTATCTGTCATTACAACATTCATGTAATATAATAAGAAATTGTAGATTTCTTCACCTTGTATGTTTTGATTGTAGAAGAAAAGTTGACCTTTGACATTTCTGCCCTTGAGGGAGAAGGTCATCAACACAAAGAAACAGTAAAGGTAAGTCAAGATTTTGGTGACAATGTCATGTAGTAATAACAGGAAAAATAAGTCAAGATTTTCGTGACAATATCCTGTAGTAATAACAGTAAAGTTAAGTCAAGATTTTGGTGACAAAGTCCTGTAGTAATAACAGTAAAGGTAAGTCAAAATTTTGTTGACAATGTCCTGTAGTAATAACAGTAAAGCTAAGTCATGATTTTGGTGCCTGTAATAATAACAGTGAAAGTAAGTCAAGATTTTGGTGACAGTATCCTTTAGTAATAAAAGTGAAGGTAAGTCAAGATTTTGGTGACAATGTCCTGTAGTAATAAGAGTGAAGGTTAGTCAAGATTTTGGTGACAATGTCCTGTAGTAATAAAATTAATATATCCTACGTCAAGATTTTGGTGACAATGTCCTGTTGTAATAACAGTTAAGGTAAGTCAAGATTTTTAGTAATAACAGTTAAGGTTAGTCAAAATTTTGGTGACAATGTCCTGTAGTAATAACAGTACAGGTAAGTTAAGGCTTTGTTGACAATGTCCTGTAGTTATACATGTAACAGTAAAGGTAAGTCAAGATTTTGGTGACAATGTCCTGTAGTAATAACAGTAAAGGTAAGTCAAGATTTTGGTGACAATGTCCTGTAGTAATAATAGTGAAGGTAAGTCAAGAATTTGGTGACAATGTCTTGTAGTAATAACTTTAAAAGCAAGTCAGGATTTTGATGACAATGCACTGTAGTAATAACAGTGCTCAGGCCACCTTTAAAGATTGTTTGGCTTATCTTTTCTGACCAGCTTGCTCAAAATGATTAATTTGATTAAATTAGTCCGCTTATAAGTCGGTTGTATTTATATATCAGATGGACTGACCTCATGTAATACCCTTCATTTTATAGCTCGCCTATAAGTAGGACATACAGATTTGGACATGAGATTAACTTCCAAAAAATCCATTTTATAGGCGAGTTTATATGGTAAAAAAAAATCACATGAAAATCTCTTCATCAGAGCATCCCGTGAAACTTAAGATTACATTTGCAAACCTGACATTCAATGGAAGATGCATATTTATCAATTGAAAGCTTCCTGAATGTTCACCGTTTCCCATTCAAATGAAGTGATATGTTAAATGACAAAACAATGGAAAATCAGACTTCATTTTAAGCAGGGTTTTTTGATCAAAGAGCAATTCTTAGCTCATGTCAGTCTTCCACATACTTGCCGAATTAAAGTTGCGTGTAAAAATATAGTCCTTACTCTAAGCCACTGTTGAGCTAATACTAACGAAAAATAAAGGAAAAAATATAAAACAAAGTTTTATCTATGCAAATAAACATCAGTAGTAATGACTTTGAAAACTTCAGTCCTAAGTCAAACTACGTAGTTCATTGGAATAAGGTTTTGTGATAGTCAGTGTTTTTCGTGTCATCGTATTGAAGCCAGACTGGCCTGTTTGTTTAAATACTGAGGTGCCAGATAAACTCTGATCCTAATAAATTAGGACCCATATACTAATTGCCTTAACATTTATATTGATATTTATGCCCCCTTCAAAGAAGTGAGGGCATATTGCTTTGCTGCTGTCTGTCGGTCAGTATGTTGGTTTGTCGATCCATTTAGTTTTTCGTTCATTTTCTTCACAACCGTTGCACATACTGAAATGAAATTTAGTATACAGGTTTATCAGGCGAATATCTAGGTCAAGTTCTGTTTTGGGTATGATTGCACCATCTTTTTAGAGTTATGTATATAAAAAAATATTACATTTTGGTTTTATGTTCTATTGTTCTACATGCCAACTATTTCTACAACGCTCAAGGCATTATATATCTTAGTGATCATAGGTTGAACTAATTCCTTCACTGTGCATTCGATCAGCACTCTGTGATGACGAAATGTCAAATTTGATTTACGAGAGGTCAAATTAGATTAACGAGAGGTCAAAATCGATTCACGAGAGGTCAAATGCGATTGAAGAGATGTTAAATGCGATTCACAAGTGATCAAATGAGATTTACGGCCTTGTAGGCATTGGCACACCGAATAAACATTCACTGCTCCATGACCCCGAGTGTTGGGTAATGGTGCAGATTTCAACAACCCATTATATGATCACACTTGAATCTACACTATCTGAATATCCTTTCATTTAATTTTTCAGTCGTATAAATATCTAAATAGTTGATACTGCTTTGTTTTATCTCACAATGCATTACTAGTAAATATGATGAAGGCACTTGATGACTGTCAGATACCACGTGATTTTATGGCTATTTAATGCAATATGACCTCATGAATTGGGTCATTTTATCCTGCACATTTCTTAAAAAAATAAAATCTTTTTGAGTTGCATTGTAATTTTCATGTTTCTCTGTCTTTACCAGGATCATATTTTTTAATGATTTTACAAAACTTGTTTCAAATAAAAGTTCATAAAAATTATTTGTCAATTTCAGGGGGAAAGGAAAGCTTTTTCATTCCATTCACATATTCAATGCGATGGTCAAAACAGTAATAGTGCTAAAGACATTCAAACGGAGAAATTAATAAAGCACAACAATAATCAAGAAAGTAAAAAGGTTCATGAATGTAACTTCTGTAAAAAAACTTTCAGCTCAAGTAACCTACGTAGACACATGAGGACACATACAGGTGATAAACCTAATAAATGCAGTGTGTGTGGGAAAGCATTCACCGATTCATGCTCCTTAAAGATACACATGAGGATACATACAGGTGATAAACCTTATAATTGTGAAGTGTGTGGAAAGACCTTTGGCCATTCACAAAACTTCAAGAAACACATGACGACACATACAGGTTTAAAGCCCTATAAGTGCGATGTATGTGGGAAAGCATTCAACGACTCACATCACTTACAGAGACACATGCGGACACATACAGGTGAAACACCATATAAATGTGATGTATGTGGGAAGGAATTCAACCAGTCACAGCTGATAAAAAGTCACATGAGGACGCATACAGGTGATAAACCTTACACATGTAATGTGTGTGGGAAGGCATTCAGCCATTCACAAAACTTACAGAGACACATGAGGACACATACAGGTGATAAACCTTTTAAATGTGATGTATGTGGAAAGACCTTTGGCCAGTCGCAAACCTTAAAGACCCACATGAGGACACATACAGGTGAAACACCATATAAATGTGATGTGTGTGGAAAAGAATTCAAGGAATCACAAAACATAAAGAGTCACATGAGGACGCATACAGGTGATAAATCTTACAAATGTAATTTGTGTGAGAAGGCATTCAATTGGTTACCGAACTTAAAGAGCCACATGAGGACACATACAGGTGATAAACCTTACAAATGTGATGTGTGTGGGAAGGAATTCAACGACTTACAAAACATAAAGAAACACATGAGGACTCATACGGGTGATAAACCTTACAAATGTAATGTGTGTGGGAAGGCATTCAATCGGTTACAGAACTTACAGAGTCACATGAGGACACATACAGGTGATAAACCTTACAAATGTGATGTGTGTGGGAAGGCAGTTAGTCAGTTACATAGCCTAAAGAGTCACATGAGGATACATACAGGTGAAACACCATATAAATGTGATGTATGTGGGAAGGAATTCAAGCAGTCACAACACAAAAAAAGACATATGAGGACGCATACATGTGATCAGCCTACAAATGTATTGTGTGTGGGAAGCAGTCAGCCATTCAAATAGTTTAAAGAAACACATGAGGACACATGCAGATGAAAAGCCTTAAAAGTGTAAAGTTTGTGGAAAGGCTGTCTCTTTTCAGGAAGCTTACATGGTCGTATGAGGATATATACAGGTGATAAACCTTTTGAATGTGATATGTGAGAGAAGGCATTCTGAGGATTACAGACATTGGGGAGGCACATAAATATACAGACTGTTAAAAAACCTGATGTGTGATGCGTTTTTGAAGGAATTCTACAGATTAGGAAACTTATAAAGATAAAGGAGGAAACATGTCGTAATATTTGAGAAAGAGCATTCCATCGCTTTGAAAGCTACCAGAGTTATATGGTTACCCATTCATGTAACAAACCTCGTGAGTGGGATGGGTGTCGGAAATTCTTCTCCCTATTAAATAATCTCAGGAAAATAATACGTACACATGTCAGAGAAACCTTACAAAGGCGATGTTTGTGGAAACGCGTTTCAATTGAAAGGATACCCAAAAAATCATATGAGGATAGATCAAGTTCATAACCTTCATTAATGTAATGTATATGGAGCTCAGAAAGGATCATAATTGTAATTTAAAATGTATTTGAGTTTGGTTTCAGCTCAATATCTACTGCGCTACCATTGGACTTTGGCAAGGAGCGCCGACTTTTAAACTTTATGGCTTAAATTAACAATAGGATATGTACGGGAACTCTTCCACAAAAAATATTAAATTTACCATTAAATTAAACAAAATAAATGTTTTTTTCAAAGCACAGATAGGTTGTCTTTGAAGAGAATGACATTCTCCCTACCATGGACATCGATCAGGTCTTCACATGTTAATGCCCTTTACACCATACACCTTAAACACCTTAAAACAAAAGACCAATAAACCGACTTCTTCTATAATAAATTTTGTACCTCCATATATGTTTTTTTAAATTTCACCTATTCTTATATTTGAGTATTATATATATCACATTTATTTTTATTTTGTCTATTGTAGCCTTTCACCATACGCATTATCGCCTTATCAACTCTCAAGTTTTTCAATAAAAGATAAAACGGGTTAACTGGCTGTGTATTTTATTGAGGTAATATAGTCATTAACATTGGCTTCTTCTGTATGTCATAGTAGCTCAATTTTGACAGCACTTGCTCTTGATCGGAAAGTTAAAAGAATTGCCAGCTGTGACTGACCTAAGTCAATCAAAGTACTGAAAGCACTCATGGGAGTTAAACGTGGTGTGAAATAAAATCTTTGATCGGGAGGTTAAGTGAGTGAACAATATTATTATTTCAAATACATGTACAGAAAGCTGTTTCAGATTTTTTTAGTTGCAAAAATCTTGAGAAAGACATTCAGAGATATTAAAAATCAAAGAAATGCAGGGGCCATATTGTTGCCTGCCTACATTAGTCCTTTTTATACCCCCTGCTTGAAAAGCGGGAGAGTATTTATTAATCTGGATTTCCGTCTATCTTGTAACGCCTTAGGTATACCCATTTCTTATCCGCAACTCCTCTTATACCACTGAACATAGAATCTTTATTACATATTGCTGTTATGCACCTTCTATTACGTTTGAATCGTACACATATTTTGCGTTTACCATTGCAAAACATTAACACTGCCATTACATTCATATTAGAGGCGGTTGATCATTTATATAATTCACTGCTTACAGTCTTCAAATGTAAGATGTTTTTTCCTTGGCACCTTTACCCATGTATTATTAAAATTTCAGTTTCGCAGGAATAAAATCAATGTTGATAAAATGTGGATTTTAACACAGCATTTTTAAGAGCTAACAGGTTTGTATATAAAACTTCTCTGTGAATATAAATGTACATGTATTTCAATTACACGAACATTCTACATGGAGTACGTCAGAACTTAATCTTTTTTAATATTGTGAAGAAAAAAGCAATACCAAGTTTAAAACAAATATTTAATGACTAAACATAAAACCAGTGGTATATGTGAGAGTTTGTGTGCGTATGAGTTATCTGGTATGTAAATGAGGTTTTCCTTTTATTTAAAAAAAACTTCATTTTGTTGTTTTTACTATTTGATTTTACGAAAACACCAGTGTCCGTTTTTTGGTTTTAACATTAAATCAGAGTACTAAATTTACCGCTTTTGACAGGTGATACTGCTGATTTAGTAATAAATACGCATGTTTCCTAAAGTTTTGATGCATTAATGAATTTATTTAAACCAAGAAAATGTTCATGAAAAATTGAATAAATTCTGTGCACCGGTAAAAAAGACATTGCAAAAAATCTGGGACGGTCGGGCGTCGGGACAACTAGATTTACCGCTTGGCGTTAGTAATGTAGAGTTGTCGTTCGTATCTTCTCAGTGTATGACGCCACACAAAAAATGAGTTCCATTACGAAAAAACTTTTGAGTTTCTTTATCATTTAGTTTTACTTTGAACGAAATCTAATATTCAAAATAAGATTACTCTATCATTATTACATTTATTAACATTTCAAATTATGAAAATAAGATCAATCCAGGAGAAAATGACATGAACTATTTGTGGCGGATGTATATGCATGTTTTCTGTTGAATATCATCGGAGTAAATCAGCTGACACAGTAGCCTCGCTTTCGGCTCTATATAATCAACACAAATTACTGCGCATGTTAAATACGTGATGACCATGGGAGATTGAACATAGTTCAACTCCCAATAAAAGGTAAATTTGTGCTTTAGCCAAGCATATATATTTCGGTATCATGTCATATTCATTGCGAATAAAGTAATTTTTCAGATTTTTCATCAATGTTTTTTTTATTCACCTATTTTCTTTTATTTGAGTATGAAATATCACACTTTTTATTTTGTCTATTGAGCTTTTCACCATCCTCATTTTCGCATTATTGATTATCGAGTGTTTCAATAAAAGATAAAACAATTTGACTTTCTGTGTATTTTAAGGAGGTATCACTGGCTATTACTGTCACAGTAGCTTTATCCAGTACAGTGCT